ATAAACGGTTCATTTACTTAAAAGTTTCCATTAGAAAAATTTTAAGGTAGGTAGTTTGGTACAATAATCCTTTTTTCTAGAAAATCTTCAACGGTCTTCCCGTAAAATGCCGAAAAAGAACATCTGGTTAAAAGTTTTAATTCATTATCAACGGAAGTAAGGATTTAAAGTCATTAAATCTATGGAGTATTTTTCCAATCATGTAATAAAATTTTATTACCCGAACGACCGGAACCTTTTCACAGAAAGGGTCTTGAGTAAGTGTACTTCAATGGTCAAGTCCAAGTAAAATGCATACGACACGATACGGCTAACTAACAAGTATTTGTCATCCCGACAAGGCCGGCATTTGAACAAAATATGCATTAAAACTCATATTCGTCGAAAAAAGCATTAAATAAGCATATAAGTTTTAATTAGCATAAAATTGAAAAAAAAGCAAATAAGCATAAAAAAATGTGTCAAATGACTCCAAATTGTTTCATAGTTACAGATATAAAAAAGTTTTGAAGTGCTTACATTTTCCACAAAAAGCATTAAACCTAGAAATCCGCTCTCTAGTCATCACCTGCGGAAAAGTGGTGACGTCATCACCAAAAAAATGTGTTCTTGATATTCCTATAATATAATAATTTAAAGTCAAGTTATATCTCGCAAAGTGTACAAAATACATAATGAAGGGTCTAAAAGTACAGATAGATTATGATGGGTCCAAACAAGGCCACATAAAGATAACGGATTATCTCTAAATCTCTCGAAAATCCAAGCTTTACACAATTCCGTACTTTGTTAGCTCTGCCATTTATTCAAAACAGTGTTCGATAAAGTTTGATACAGAATAAGAATTAAGGCGGCGTTAAACGAAATTGATTCTATTTTCCATTTTCTTAGTTTCCACGCTTGCTTCCAAAAAGTATCGGACTTTCGATTGAAAACTCATCAAGTTGGCGTTGATTATTGTAAAAAATTTGATTCTGAATGACAGTTGGCAACGCGTATCGGTCCGACCTAACCTCACTTTTTTCGACAAGTCCGTGAACTGCTATTTTTTCGCTACGGCTTCTTTTATATGAGCCTGATATACTCCAAATTATGTAGTAACTATCCTTTGTAAGTCAGTAGTCGGTAGTTCTAGTCCATGATATTTGCCTTTTTCTTTCTTATGTATTTTCTATTTCTTCTTTGTTTGAATGACTGGTTTCTTCTTAGTCTTCACTCCACAGCTTCTCCTTCCGTCGTGTATTTATGATCTTTTCTTCTTGTTCTTCTTGTTCCAATTTATCGAAAATTTAGAACCATGAACAAAGAAGATTTTTAATCAACTTTCCAAAATTCTTAATTTTTCAAAATGGATACTTATTTAAACCCTTTGAAAATTACCTAAACACATTTTCTTGTAGATTTAGACTTTTTAATCAATTTTCCCAAAATTGATAAAATGAAAACGTGACAATTTTATTTAAAAATCCTATTTTCAAACCAAATTTTTGGAAAATATTAGTTAAGGACCATCAACAAGTTATATTTTTTGAATCAGCTCGTTGAAATGTATATTTCAGAATTTTTTGAAAATTTTTAGACAACTTTTCAAAAATCTCCGTTTTTCATTGTATGAATTTTTGACCCATTTTCAAGGACCCTTTGAAAGTTGCCTAGGGGACCTATTTTATAGATTTCGGCTTGTAATAGTTATTTTCGGCTTCATTTTTTCCGAAATTCCAACAGTTTTTCCAGAATCAATAAATCTAGAAATGAAAATTTTCGAGATATTCTAATAATACCGTTTTCGAAGCGAATTTTTCAAAAATCGTGGTACAAGACTCATTAACCAGTTATATTTTTCGAATCAGCTCCTTGGAATGTACTTCCCAGAATTTTTTGGGAATTTTTAGACAACTTTTCAAAAATCTCTATTTTTGATTGTATGAATTTTTGACCCTTTTCCGAGGACTCTTTGAAAATTGCCTAGAGGCCATATTTTGTAGATTTCGACTTGTAATAGTTATTTTCGGCTTCATTTTTTCGGAAATTTCAACAGTTTTTTCAGAATCGATAAAACTAGGAATGAAAATTTTCGAGATATTCTAAAAATCCCATTGTCAAAGCGAATTTTTCAAAAATCGTTGTGCAAAACTAATCAACAAGTTATATTTTTCGAATCAGCTCCTTGAAATGTACTTTCCAGAATTTTCTGGGAATTTTTCGACAACTTTTGAACAGATTACCAATTCTATCGTTTGAAGTAGTACATAGAAGTTTCTAAAATTTTCTCAAAAATCTTCTTCACTCTTGTTTGATAATTTTCCGGATGAGATCTTGTACATTCTTCTAAATATCTATATCCTCAGTCCCCTGCCTTCTATTCTAAGTATACAGGGCGATAATAAAATGACAGATAAACTCGATGGTGCTTTTTTAAGGAGGGACTGAAGAACTAGAAATAAATGGTTAAAAAAAAACTGAACCAAATTTTTAAAAATATTTAACTTCAAATTTGAAGAATTAACTTTGTAATTCGGATATGTATGTCTTAATGTGAATTGACAGTGCAAAATTTTGATAATAATTGTCAAAAGTGACATATGTAAACAGGAAAAATGACGTTGTGGATCATATTCTAGCAAATTTTTATTAAATTATTAATAACTAATTATTATTTAACTATCTATTAGAGGGTATGTCATTTGCCAAAATCAATCTTCTCTTAGCAGATACTTGACCCGCCCACCCACCCTCTCTTTTCTTAGTGGGTATCTCATTTGCCAAAATCACTCTTTGTTAGCAGATGCTAGCCTCGCCCACCCACCCCCTCTTTTCTTAGCGGCTATCTCATTTGCCAAAATCATTCTTATCTTAGTAGGTGCTAGCCCCGCCCACCCACCCTCTCTTTTTTAGAGGGTATCTCATTTGCCAAAATCACTCTTATCTTAGCAGGTGCTAGCCCCGCCAACCCATCCTCTCTTATCTTAGAGGGTATCTCAATTGCCAAAATCAGTCTTATCTTAGCAGGTACTAGCCCCGCCCACACAACTTCTCTTTCGTAGAGGCTACCTCATTTGCCAAAATCACTCTTAGCTTAGCATGTACTAGCCCCGCCCACACAGCCTCTTTTTTCTTAGAGGGTATGTCATTTGCGAAAATCAATTTTCTCCTAGCAGATACTAGCCCCGCCCACCCCCTCTTTTTTCTTAAAGGGTAGCTCATTTGCCAAAATCACTCTTATCTTAACTCAAATCATCATTACGAAGTTATTTCTTCAGCTTTGACGTTTAATATTTTCAAAAATTTCGTGCAGGGATTTTTTTAATAATTTTTTTCGAGTTTTTCAGAGCGTTCTTAACAACGTACCATAGTTGTTCTGTCATTTTTGGAACACTCAGTATAAACGAATTTTCTTGGTTTGGATTTCCATTAGACAAAATTGAAAGAAGACACTATCGGTTTCTGTTCTATTTATATCTTACGTAACTTTTTTCCTCTTTGTTGTAACAAATGGTTTCTTCTTAGTTTTCACTCCAATACTTCTGCTTTCGTCGTCTTTCTTGTTCTTCTTTCATAAGGGATCTAAAACGACTAGCAACAGCTTCTTCATTTGTTAGAACTGATTACAATTCACCAAACGGATCTTCTTAATCTGTTTCTTCCTCGTCTTCGGCTCTTTTCAATTCTTCAATTAGTGTATCAGAATTATCTTCCAGATTATCCTCTAAACGCTGAGGTTTAAGATTCATCTGTTGTTGGTTCTTCATCTTCACATTGGTTCATTATTTTTCTTCATTCTCTTCATTCGGTTTTGGTGTCATTGGTTCCATTATTGTTTTCACAATCTTGGTTTGTGCTACAATCTTTTAAACCTTAGCTAGTACTTGCTAATATAAGACTGCTAATAACACCCTCTAAAAAAGAGGCTTGCTTTTAAAAGACTGTAAGAAAATATGATGATCCACATCATTTTACATAAATCGAAATTAAACTGAAACTGCTCATCTTTTGTGGAAGTAGTTGCAACAGATTCATGTATGGTCTGCTGTTTAATTTTAGAAACTTCAAACATTTTCTTCCTTTCTACATGAAGAGTCGTTCTGACATGTTGCGTCACGTTATATTTTTTATCACTTTGAATCTAAAACAACGTACATATACAGGATTAACAAAGGAAACTAGATAAAAAAAATTAGTGGGCTTACGGTTTTCACACAAGCTCTGCAGAATATTTTGTTTTTTTCTAATTTTAATTCTGGAAAATCCCCTATCCACTGATCCGGTGTCTATTTTACTTTCGGCATTCTTTTAAAATATTAGTAATATTACCAAAAAGAACTCAACATGTAACAAGGAACACCCACGTATAACACTGTACTACGACAGATGCGATAGACTGATGGTTGTGAAATAAACGGTTCATTTACTTAAAAGTTTCCATTAGAAAAATTTTAAGGTAGGTAGTTGGGTACAATAATCCTTTTTTCTAGAAAATTTTCAACGGTCTTGCCGCAAAATGCCGAAAAAGAACATCTGGTTAAAAGCTTTAATTCATTATCAACGGAAGTAAGGATTTAAAGTAATAAAATCTATGGAGTATTTTGCCAATCCTATAATAAAATGTTATTACCCAAACGACCGGAACCTATCACAGAAAGGGTCCTGAGTAAGTGTACTTCAATGGTCAAGTCCAGGTAAAATGCATACGATACGATACGGCTAACTAACAAGTATTTGTCATCCCGACAAGGCCGGCATTTGAACAAAATATGCATTAAAACTCATATTAGTCGAAAAAAGCATTAAATAAGCATATAAGTTTTAATATGCATAAAACTGAAAAAAAAAGCAAATAAGCATAAAAAAAAAGTGCCAAATGACTCCAAATTGTATCATAGTTACAGATATAAAAAAGTTGCTTACATTTTTCACAAAAAGCATTAAACCTAGAAATCCGCTCTCTAGTTATGTGGCAGCTTTAACATCATAATCAATCAAAAAGAGAAAGAAAAAACAACTTTTTCACAACAGCATTTTATTTCAGTCGACTGGAGAAAACGCAGGTTTTTCCTTCAGCACGCATTTGACGATCTCAAAAGTGGTGTCTTCAACAGTGTCCTTCTCCACGACGCACTTGTTGACAATACTGTCAGCTTCTTCGTCATTCGTCGCCACTTTCTTCACCTTCCGTTTCAAATTCCCCACATCGACCTCCCCCGCTTCCGTCACTAAAGCCACGTTTTTCGCAACACACAGTATCTGCTTTTTGAGTTTGGGGTCGTCTGCGAACACCCCGTTTCTGGCGTTCAAGATAACTTCATCAGTGACTCCGCTCTGGGACCTGCATTGAGTGCTAATTTTGTTCAGTTTGTGAGTTTGGTCTTCCGTTAGGGCCTGTGTGTTATTGTTTAGTGAAGTTCGTAGAAACTTGTGAATGTACTTACTGTAATTTCGACTACTGCAACGAGACAGACACACAGGAGAAACTTCATCGTTGCGGACTTTGCTGGTGATTGGGATCTTGCTTATTTATATGTAGCTTCGTAGGGGGTTATCATTTAATTAGTGTTTGTTTGAGTTCAGCGATTTAACTATCACGTAACTTCGGCCTGTGTTGCGTCTGGAGCGTCTATAAATTACGAGTTGTTATTTAATTAACATTCAATTTGTTGGTAATGGTTTGTTATTTGTTGACTGAAATTTGCAGGAAGGCTTTTTGTCTGCAGCAATCGAATATTTCGTGGTGTTTGAGCGTTTTCCAATAATCGAAAACTTATTTGCGGTTGTGTTTTTTAACAATTTTTTGTTTGTGTTGTGGTGCAGCTTTTAACTTTTTTTCGAAGCAGATGTAGGTCTATCAGTAAAAACACTGTGGACTGTTTCCATTTGATGACCTGTATGTTCTAAAAAAAATGTTATTGAAGTATAAAATTTATCGGTTTTGGGTCACTTGGTGCTTTATCGCCTAATTTAAATTCCACGTTTTGTTTACTTGAAAGTTGTTTATGTTTTCGTTGAAGTTAAGAATTAATTTCATAAATTATGTGGGAGATAAAACTGATTTTGCATTCTAAATTAAAATATACATTTTTTTCCACTACCAAGATAAAAAATAGTTGCATCTAAATATATAATCTGACTATTTAAGATATACATTTTGAGTGAGAGTGCGTAAGAAAATACAGCAATAAAAGGTCGAAGTGGACGTTAAAGCGTTTAGACGGGTCCACTTGCGGATTTAAGGGGAGTAAGCTGTACTGCGACCTAAAAATATAGAAATGTGTTTTTAAAAATGTTCTCTTTTCAGAAGGTAGATGATAAAAGCCTGAGTGAAAGATTGCGTATATTCAATATGTTCTTCTCATTGTATTTCCATTCTACTTACAGTGAATTTGATCTTGATCGTCGTACTAGGAAGCTTTTCAGCTTCGGCGAATTGCTACTGTCGTGTTTTCTCAACGTTTCATTACCTAAAATGTCCAGATTTTTGCGTGCTTATTATATTTATTTTAACATTACGTACATTTTAAATTTATATAAGTATTTATCATAAAAAATAAAATTCGCAAAATCAAATCTTATAATTTTTCCAAAAATTATATATTCATATATATTTTAGATATAAAAGTTTTTCACTTTTCCAGCCTTATTTTTGTTTCAATTTAACGACTTCCAAATGTTTTGATTGTTTGTTTCTTTAATTTTTTGATTTGCAGTTTTTCGATTTTTCAATTTTTCCTTTCCTCAATTATTCACGTTCTTGATTTTTATTTTTCATTTTCATGACTGTTTAATTTTCAGTTTCTCCATTTTATATCACAAATTTTCGTTTTCTCATTTCCTTTATTTTTTTGGTGTTTCATTCGATTTTATAATTTTTCGTTTATTCAGTTCTAAAAATCTTTGACTTTTCAAATTTTCATGTTCTAATTTTTGTATTTTTTTATCTGATTTTCAGATTTCTTTCATTTTCAATATTTCAATTATTCAATTTTTCGTTTCTTGGATGTCTCAAGTTCTTGATCTCCAATTTTTTAATTTTTCGTTTTTTCAACCTTATTTTTTTCAATTTCCCGACTTCCAAATTTTTCAATTTTTTGATTTGCAGTTCTTCAATTTTGCAATTTTTGTATTTTTTTTATTACCTGATTTTACGATTTCTTTAATTTTCCATATTTCAATTCTTCAATTTTTTGTTTCTTCAATGTCTTAAGTTCTTGATCTCCATTTTTTTCATTTTTCGCTTTTTCAACCTTATTTTTTTCAATTTCTCGACTTTCAAATTTTTCAATTTCTCGATATTCCAATTTTTCATTTTCTCAGTTTTTGGTTTTTCGATTTTTCGGTTTCTCAGTTTTTCATTTTTCGATTTTTCAATTTTTCGTTTCCTCAATTATTCAAGTTCTTGATTTTTATTTTTCATTTTCATTATTTTTTAATTTTTAGTTTCTCCATTTTATAACACAACTTTTCGTTTTCTCATTTCCTTTATTTTTTCGATGTTTCATTCGATTTTATAATTTTTCGTTTATTCAGTTCTCAAATTTTTCAATCTTTGACTTTTCACTTCCTCATGATCCAATTTTTGTATTTTTTTTATCTGATTTTCCGATTTCTTTAATTTATTTTCAATATTTCAATTTTTCAATTTTTCGTTTCTTCGATGTCTGTTGATCTCCAATTTTTTAAATTTTCGTTTCTCGACCTTATTTTTTTCAATTTCTGGGCATTAAAATTTTTCGTTTTTCTATTTTTCAGTTTCACAGTTTAATTTTTTCCATTTTTCAATTTTTCGTTTCCTCAATTTTTCAAGTTCTTGTTTTTGATTTTTCTTTTCCCGATTTTTTAATTTCGGTTTCTCCATGTTATATCACAATTTTTCTTTTTCTCATTTCCTTCAATTTCAATCTTTCTATCGATTTTATAATTTTTGGTTTAATCAGCTCTCAAATTGTTTCATCTTTGATTTTTCAATTTTGCAATTTTTGTATTTTTTTTTATTACCTAATTTTACGATTTCTTTAATTTTCAATATTTCAATTTTTGAATTTTTCGTTTCTTTGATATCGCAAGTTCTTGATCTCCAATTTTTGAATTTTTCGCTTTTTCAACCTTATTTTTTTCATTTTTTGGACTTCCAAAATTTTTCAATTTTTCGATTTGCAGTTTTTCAATTTTACAATTTCTCGATATTCCAATTTTTCATTTTCTCAGTTTTAGTTTTTCGATTTTTCGGTTTCTCAGTTTTTAATTTTTCAATTTTTCAGTTTCTCAGTTTTTAATTTTTCGATTTTTCAATTTCTATTTCCTCAATTACTCAAGTTCACGATTTTTATTTTTCATTTTCATGGTTCTTTAATGTTCAGTTTCGCCATTTTATGTCACAACTTTCATTTTCTCATTTCCTTTATTTTTTCAATGTTTTATAATTTTTCTTTTATTCAGTTCTCAAATTTTTCTTTAATTCCTCATGTTCATTTATAATATTTGTATTTTTTTATTATTTGATTTTATGATTTCATTAAATTTCAATATTTCAATTATTCATTTTTTTGTTTCTTCTATGTCTTAAGTTCTTGATTTCCAATTTTTTAGTTTTTTGATTTTTCAATCTAATTTTTTTCAATTTTTCGAATTACAAATTTTTCCATTTTTCGTTTCTTCAGTTTTTTTGTTTGCAGTTTTTCAATTCTGCAATTTCTCTATAATCTAATTTTTCATTTTTCAATTTTTTAGTTTCTCCGTTTTTAATTTTTCGATTTTTTATTTACCCAGTTTTAATTTTGCGAGTTTTTAATTTCTTAGTTTTTAATATTTCGATTTTTCAGTTTCTCAGTTTTAATTTTTCAATTTTTCAGTTTTTGAGTTTTTTTTTTCGATTTTTCAATTTTTCGTTTCTTCAATTATTCAAGTTCTTCATTTTTATTTTTTCTTTTATTCAGTTCTCAAATTTTTCAATCTTTGACTTTTCAATTCCTCATGTTCCAATTTTTTAATTTTTCAATGTTTTAATTTTTTGTATTTTTTTTATTATCTGATTTTCCGATTTCTTTAATTTTCAATATTTCAATTTTTCAATTTTTCGTTTCTTCAATGTCTCGAGTTCTTACTTTTTCATTTTTAGAATTTTCAGTTCCTCAGTTTTGAATTTTTTGATTTTTCAATTTTTCGTTTGATCAATTATACAAGTTCTTGCTTCTTAATTTTCATTTTATATCACAACTTTTCGTTTTCTCATTTCCTTTACTTTTTCAATGTTTCTTTCGGTTTCATTATTTTTTTCGTTTATTCAGTTCTCAAATTTTTCAATCTTTGACTTTTCAGTTATTTATGTTCCAATTTTTGAATTTTTCAAATTTGCAATTTTTTGTATTTTTTTTATTATCTGATTTTCCGATTTCTTTAATTTTCAATATTTCAATTATTCAATTTTTCGATGTCTCGAGTTCTTTCTTTTTCATTTTTCGATTTTTCAGTTCCTCAGTTTTGAATTTTTCGATTTTTCAATTTTTCGTTTCCTCAATTATTCAAGTTCTTGATTTTTACCTTTCATTTTCGTGGTTTTTTAATTTGCAGTGTTTCCATTTTATATCACAATTTTTCGTTTTCTCATTTCATTAATTTTTCAACGATTGTTTCTATTTTATAATTTCTTGTTTATTCGGTTCTCAAAAATTTTTTTATCTTTGACCTTTCAGTTCCAGTTTTTGAATTTTTCAATTTTTTGTTTTTGTATTTTTTTTATTATCTGATTTTAAGATTTCATTAATTTTCAATATTTCAATTTTTCAATTTTTCGTTTCTTCAATGTCTCGAGTTCTTACTTTTTCATTTTTAGAATTTTCAGTTCCTCAGTTTTGAATTTTTTGATTTTTCAATTTTTCGTTTGATCAATTATACAAGTTCTTGCTTCTTAATTTTCATTTTATATCACAACTTTTCGTTTTCTCATTTCCTTTACTTTTTCAATGTTTCTTTCGGTTTCATTATTTTTTTCGTTTATTCAGTTCTCAGATTTTTCAATCTTTGACTTTTCAGTTATTTATGTTCCAATTTTTGAATTTTTCAAATTTGCAATTTTTTGTATTTTTTTTATTATCTGATTTTCCGATTTCTTTAATTTTCAATATTTCAATTATTCAATTTTTCGATGTCTCGAGTTCTTTCTTTTTCATTTTTCGATTTTTCAGTTCCTCAGTTTTGAATTTTTCGATTTTTCAATTTTTCGTTTCCTCAATTATTCAAGTTCTTGATTTTTACCTTTCATTTTCGTGGTTTTTTAATTTGCAGTGTTTCCATTTTATATCACAATTTTTCGTTTTCTCATTTCATTAATTTTTCAACGATTGTTTCTATTTTATAATTTCTTGTTTATTCGGTTCTCAAAAATTTTTTTATCTTTGACCTTTCAGTTCCAGTTTTTGAATTTTTCAATTTTTTGTTTTTGTATTTTTTTTATTATCTGATTTTAAGATTTCATTAATTTTCAATATTTCAATTATTCAATTTTTTGTTTCTTAAATGTCTTAAGTTTTTGATCTCCATTTTTTAAGTTTTCGCTTTTTCTACCGTATTTTTTTCAATTTCCCATCTTAAAAATTTTTTGAATTTTGCAGTTTCTCTGTTTTCCAATTTTTCATTTTCTCAGTTCTTAACTTTTCGATTTTTCGGTTTTTTAGTTTTTAATTTTTTCTTTTGGTTTTTCAATTTTTCGCTTCTTTCATTTTTCGATTTTTCAGTTTCCCCGGTTTTAATTTTTCGATTCTTCAATTTTTCGTGTCCTCAATTATTCAAGTTCTTGATTTTGAGTTTTCATGTTCCCGATTATTTCATTTCGGTTTCTTCCTTTATTTTTTTAATGTTTCTCCCGTTTTATAACTTTTTGTATAATCAGTGTCCAAATTTTTCAATGTTTAACTTTTCAATCCGTCGTTCTCCCAATTTTTTAATTTTTCTATACTTTTTCGTTTCTTCATTTTTGATTTCTCAACTTTACAAGTTTGCAATTGTTCCATTTTTTTTATTCGAAAATTAAAAAATCCAAAAATTCAAAATCATGAAAGTAAAAAATTGAAAACTGGAAAATCGAAGAACTGAAGAAACAAAAAATTTAAACAGTGAAAAACTAAATATCGAGAAACTTAAAAATTGAAGAAAATTAATTAATCGATAAAATTGGAAAAAAGAAAAACGAATCAAATCGAAAAATTGGAAACCCCAAAAATTGTAAAATCAAAAAACTGTGACACTGAAAGATCAAAAAATTGAAAAAAAAAATCGAAAGATTCAAAAATTCAAATCTTATAATTTTTCGAAAAATTTGGTTTTATTGCACTGTACTTAAGGGCCAAGGGAAGTTCTGTACTATTATAACGAGTGATCAAAAAATTATCAGATTAGAGTTGGCCATGTAAATATTTGTCATGTCTTTGATTACAATGCAAATGTCAAAAATCCAAATTATTGAAATACAAATGAGGTTATTTATGCCTGACGTTTACAGTTTAATCAAAGACATGACAAATATTTCCATGGCCAACTCTAATCTGAAAACTTTATGATCACCCGTTATATTTTAGATGTATTCTTATTATGATTAAGGTTATTTAATTTTTTTCTCAATTTTTTAGTTATTTTTGGAGAGGTTTCTGAAGTTTATTGAAATCAGTAATGTCAGACATGTTTTAACTTTTTTGTTGTGAAAAGATGATTACGTTTATTAAGAAAAAAAGCAAAATATAAGCCACGCCCACCCGCCCTGTCTCCATCGTGATGATTTTTTATTCGTCGTACGCCAGGGGGCGGAGTTTAAACGCAAAATCCTTATTTTTCTACGAAAAACCACCATGTGAAACATGTTCTTAAGTAACTGTGTTGTTCAAAGAAAACTATATGTATTAAGTAAAAATGAAAGCCACAAGATAAGCCCCACCCATCCATTACGACCTCATCAGGAGGCGGAGCCTAATTTCAAAAGCCATATTTGTCCAAAAAAATGTATTATGTTTTCAGTTTCTTGTTCAGATAGATGACTACGTATGTTAAGAAAATAAGACAAAATATAAACCCCACCCACCCGCCCTTTGTCAATCGGGGATGATTTTTTTTTATTCGTCGTAAGCCAGGGGGCGGAAATTAAATGCAAAATCCTTATTTTCTACTAGAAATTACCATGTGAAATGTGTTGTTAACTAACAGGTGATCTACAAGTTTTTAGATTAGAGCTGGCCATTGAAATATTTGCCATGTCTTTGATTAAACTGTAAAAGTCATGCATAATCTATAAAAATGACATGAAAAATATTTCCATGGCCAACTCTAACCTGAAAACTTTTGATCACGCTTTATATGTGTCAAGTAAAAAAGAAAGCGGAAAGATTAGGTGGGGCTAATCTATCTCGATTTCAATCTTGATGAATTTTTCATTCGTTGCTAGATCGAGGGGCGGAGCGTAATTGCAAAATCCATAATTTCCCTACAAAAATTTACTACGGTTTTAAGTTCTTGTGGTGAAAAGATGACTACGTATATTAAGAAAAAAAAGACACAATATTCTTCTGGCAAAAAAATTACAAAATTTTTGAGAATGTTTTCAGATAAAAAAATTGGTCTTCTGTTATTAAACAGAAGTTTTCTCACCTTTGACTTGACCTGACGTATAAAATCAAGGTGGATTCATAAATCACAAGTACGACAGTTATGGCCAACTCTAACCTGAAAACTTTTTGATCACCCTTTATATGTGTCAACTAAAAAAGAAAGCGGAAAGATTAGCCCCACCCATCTATCTCGATTTCAATCTTGATGAATTTTTCATTGGTTCCTAGATCGAGGGGCGGAGCGTAATTGCAAAATCCATAATTTTCCTACAAAAATTTACTAGGTTTTAAGTTCTTGTTGTGAAAAGATGACTACGTATATTAAGAAAAAATAGGCACAATATTCTTCTGACAAAAAAAAAATTTTGAGAATGTTTTCAGATGTACGACAGTTATGTTATTTTATAAATTTACATAGCAAATTTACTTTAGGTTCGATGATTATCTGTCTAATAAAAATCGACACAGATGGTAGATGCACAACAGACGCAGACAGATGGAAACGGAGCACCTATTTTTTCATACTCTAGGTATCATGAAACGACGGGAAAACTTGAAAGTACGATGTAATCATTTACCGATATTTATTTATATAACACTAACTTTAATCAAAAGATTTTTTTATCTCTTGAGAAAAAAATAGTATAGGTCCCCAAAAAGAGACAGGTGGTACACCACATTGCCAAAACGGACTCTGGGGATTAACGCTCAACCACTTCTACCATTAAAACTCGCCAAATCTTAGACATCAGTTTTATTAAACACCTACAACTAACCTAACTACATTTAATCGACAACAGAAAAAGCGGGCTTCTCCTTGTGTAAGCACTTGAAGGCTTCGAAGGCCGTCTCTTCGGGACTATCCTTCTTCACGGCACACTTCTGCACCAGCTTGTCCACCTCGGCGTCATCCGCAGCCACTTTCTTCAGCTTCGTCTTCAAAACGTCCAGGTTGATCTCCCCAGCAGCTGTCGCCAAATTCGCCTTCTTCGCCACACACAGCATCTGGCTCTTCAGTTTCGGGTCGTCCACCAGCTCGCCGTTCCTCGCCTTGTCGATCAGGTCTTGGGCGACCCCGGACTCCGTCTTGCACTCCTTGCTGACTTCATCTAGTTTCTTCTTCTGTTCGTCGGTGAGAGCCTGCAAGGGTTGCTTTGAAGAAGCAGAAATGGAATTGAGGGTGGAGGTACTCACTTGCGCTGCCACGATGAGGGTGAAGGCCACACACACGAAGAGCTTCATTTTCGAAACGTACTGCTGCTGGTGGAGGAGGAGCGCTTTTATATATGTGTTGTGTTTGTCTGGGGATATGGAAGAAGTTCAAGGACTGGTAATAATTTGACCTAATTGAATTAAATGAATGCGAGATGAGACGTTCTGGAAAGTTTGCAGGGGTAAATAGGTAATTTTCTTATTGAGTTAAATTTGTTGTGACATGGGTGCTTTGTGGAGTGATAGAGGGCGGAAATTGGACTAATTGAAAGATGGGTTTGTTAACGTTTGTGATTTAGAGGAAGGTTCTGGAAGCGTTGTTTTGACCAAAAATGGTTGATTAGGAGGTGAATTTTAATTTTGTGGTCGGCAAGGTTGCTCGTTACCGCGGCGTGTGGGAGGAAATGGCTTTATGTGTAACGAGGAGCCATTGTGTAGTAATTGCCGTATTCATTAGAATTAATATACAAGGGAAAGGCAACAAATAAATGTGCATTAGACGCATAAATTGGCCTTTGTAGAAATTCTTTTTATTTATTGAGGGTAATCTGACCCCTTGGGTATAAAAAAATTTGTCGCCCGTTTCCGTCTGTCTGTCTGTCTGTCTGCCGTCTATCCGGGTTTTTATTAGACAGATAATCTTCCAAATTACTGGACAGATTGTTGTCAAATTTTGCATTCGGGACTGTCATGTAGATGGAAAACGCCAACCAAAAATTGACTGATCATCTCCGTGAACTATTTGATGACGCCATTTCCAAAATCTAATTTCTCGACTTTCAAATTTATCAATTCTTTATTTCTTTAATCTTTCAATTTGCAGTTTTTCAATTTTGTAATTTTTCGATATTACAATTTTTTTTTCGATATTTCAATTTTTGGTTTCCTTAATTTTTCAAGTTCTTCATTTTTATTTTTCATTTTTCGTATTTTTAATTTTATATCAGAATTTTTCGCTTTTTCATTTGCTTTATTTTTTCAATGGTTTTTCGAATTTTTAATTTTTCGTTTATTCAACTTTGCAAATGTTCAAATTTGATTTTTCAGTTCCTCGATTTGCCAATTTTAATTTTTTTTACTTTTGGAATTTTTGGATTTCTCAGTTGTCCGATTTTTCGATTTCTTTAATTTTCTATATTTCGATTTTTCAATATTTCATTTATTTTGATTTTGTACTTTTTTGATTTTTAAGTCTCAGTCGCTAGATTTTTTAATTTTTCGTTTATTCAATTTTTTGAGTTCCTGATATCCAATTTTTAGATCTTTCAAAGTTTTCGATCATTCGATAATTTTTAGTCTTTTCATTTTTGATTTTTTAATTTCAAAATCTTGCAATTTTTCCATTTTTTTTATTTTAAAAGTTGACAAATCGAAAAATTAAAAATTGGAAAAATGAAAAAACGAGAAAGTGGAAAATTTGCGAATGGAAAAACTGAAGAAATAAAAAATCGAAAAATTGAAGAATCGAATAAATGAAAAAGTTTTCAAATCCAATAGTTAAAAAAATATATTTAAAATGAAAACTACAAAAATTGCAAATGAACAATTGAAAAAACGGCAAACTTAAAAATCTAAAACCTAATAAACGAAAAATTAAAAGATGAAGTTGAAAAATTGAAAACCGAAAAATTGCAAATCAAAAAATTAAAAAATTCAAAAACTGAAACAAAAAATTGCAAGTTGGAAGTTTGAAGAAATGAAAAATTAAAGAATCGAAAAATGAAAAATGAAAATTGGAGTAACAAAAAAAAATGGAAACATCGAAAAATCGAATAATTGAAGAAATAGAAATCGAATAACTGAACAAATCAAAATCGAAAAACTGTACGATTGTAAGACGGAAAATTTGAAAAATTAAAAATCGAAAAATTGAAAAATCGGGTAAAAAAAAATTTTAAGTACTCGATAACTAAAAAATGGAAAAATTCTTAAAATAGTAATATTGAAAAAGTGAAACTCTTTTAGAAACACAATATTTAATACAAAAATTAAAAAATTGAAAATCAAAAATTGAAGAAACGAAAAGCTAAAATATTTAAAAGTTGAAAAATAAAAAAAATTTTGATTTTTAAGTCTCAATTTTTCGATTTTTTAATTTTTCGTTTCTTCAATTTTTCAAGTTCTTGATCTCCAATTTTTAGATGTTTCAAAGTTTTCAATCATTCGATACTTTTTCGTCTTTCCATTTTTGATTTTCTAATTTTAAAATATTGGAATTTTTCCATTTTTTTATTTTAAAAGTTGACAAATCGAAAAATTAAAAATTGGGAAAATGAAACAAATGAAACAAAAAATTGAAAAGACATTGGAAGATGAAAAAATTGAAAAACTAAAAATCGAAAAATTCAAGAATCTAATAAATGAACAAGTTTTCAAATCCAATAATTGAAAAACGGAAAAGTTCTAAAATCGCAAAATTGGAAAAGTAGTAATTAAAAAAAATATATTTAAAATGAAAACTACAAAACTTGCAAATGAAAAATTGAAGAAATGAAAAATTAAAAAAACGGCAAACTTAAAAATCTGAAACTTAATAAACGAAAAATTAAAGATGAAGTTGAAAAATTGAAATCGAAAAATTGCAAAATCAAAAAAATTAAAAAATTCAAAAACTGAAACGAAAAATTGCAAGTTGAAAGTTTGAAGAAATGGAAAATTAAAGAATCGAAAAATGAAAATGAAAGAACGAAAAAAAATGGAAACATCGAAAAATCGAATAATTGAAGAAATCAAAATCGAAAAACTGTAACATTGAAAGATGGAAAATTTGATAAATTAAAATTTGAAAAATTGAAAAATCGAGTAAAAAACTCGATAACTGAAAAATGGAATAATTCTTAAAATAATAAAATTGAAAAAGTGAAACATTTTTAAAAGCACAATATTTAAAACAAAGATTTAAAAAATTGCAAATCAAAAATTTGAAGAAACGAAAAATTAAAATGTTTAAAAGATGATAAATAAAAAAATTGAAAACCAAAAATTCCAAATCGAGAAATTAAAAAATCCAAGAATTGAAAATTTTCACATTGAAAAAAAGAAAAGTTATCGAACCAGAACAATGAAAAACCGAAAAATTGTAAATAAATGAAAAATTAAAGAATTGAAAAATGGGAAATTGGATACTCGAGAAATTTTAAACCGAAAAATTGCAAAATCAAAAATTGAAGTAACAAAAAAATGAAAAATTGGAAAGTCACAAATCAAAAAATGCCAGAAACGAAGAATTGAAAAAACAAAAAATTATACTCCTAAAATGGAATCATCGAAACATCGAATGATTGAAGAAATAGAAATCGAACAACTCAACAAATCAAAATCGAGATAAACATGGAAGAATTGAAAAATTAAAAATCGAAAAATTGAAAAATCGAATAAATAAAAAAATTTAAAACCCAATGGAGAAAATGTTAGAAGAGGAAAATTGAAAAAGTGAAAAATTTTTAAAAACAATATTTAAAACGAAAATTAAAAAAATTGCAAATCAAAAATTGAAAAATGAAAAAACTGAAAAATTTCACATTGCAAAAAAGAAAAATTATAAAAACAGAACATTGAAAAACCGAATAATGATAAAATGAAAGAAAAAAACCGAAAAGAAAAACTGTATGTTGAAAATTTCAAGAAATGAAAAATTAAAGAATCGAAAAATGAAAATGAAAGAACGAAAAAAAATGGAAACATCGAAAAATCGAATATTTGAAGAAATCAAAGTCGAAAAACTGTAACATTGAAAGATGGAAAATTTGAAAAATTAAAATTCGAAAAATTGAAAAATCGAGTAAAAAACTCGATAACTGAAAAATGGAATAATTCTTAAAATAATAAAATTGAAAAAGTGAAACATTTTTAAAAGCACAATATTTAAAACAAAGATTTAAAAAATTGCAAATCAAAAATTTGAAGAAACGAAAAATTAAAATGTTTAAAAGATGATAAATAAAAAAATTGAAAACCAAAAATTCCAAATCGAGAAATTAAAAAATCCAAGAATTGAAAATTTTCACATTGAAAAAAAGAAAAGTTATAGAACCAGAACAATGAAAAACCGAAAAATTGTAAATAAATGAAAAATTAAAGAATTGAAAAATGGGAAATTGGATACTCGAGAAATTTTAAACCGAAAAATTGCAAAATCAAAAATTGAAGTAACAAAAAAATGAAAAATTGAAAAATCTCAAGTCAAAAAATGGAAGAAACGCTAAATTGAAAAAACAAAAAATTAAAAAATCAGAAGAGAAAAGTCGAATAATTGAATAAATAGAAATCGAATAAATGAACAAATCAAAATCGAAAAATTGTGGCATTGAAAGATGAAAAAATTGACAAATAAAAAATCGAAAAATTGAAAATTTTAATAAATAAAAAAATTTAAAACTTAATGACGGAAAAAAGGAAAAATTCTTAAAATAGTAAAATTGGAAAACTGAAATGTTTTTTTTCACAATATTTAAAGTGAATATAGCGAAATAGCAAATCAAAAATTGAAAAAACGAACAATTGAAATATCTAAAAGTCAAAAAATTAATAACCAAAAGTTCCAAATCGAAAAATTGAAAAGTCCATAAATTGAAAAAACGAAAAATTAAAATATCTAAAAGTCAAAAAATCAAAAGATTAATAAGCAAAAGTTCCAAATCAAGAAACTGAAAAATCCATAAATTGAAAAAATTCACATTGAAGAAAGAAAAATTGTAAAAACAGAAGATGGAAAAACCGAAAAATTGAAAAAATGAAGAAAATAAAAAACCGGAACGAAAAATTGCAAGTTGAAAATTTGAAGGAATGAAAGAATCGAAAAATGAGAAATGAAAAATTTGAAACTCGAGCAATTTTGAACCGAAATGGACTTAATAAAATATTTTAAAACTTAGTAACCAAAAAATAGGAAAATTCTAAAATAGTAAAATTGAAAAAGTGAAATTTGTTTATAATTATAGCATGTATTTAAAACAAAAATTAGAAAAATTGTATATCAAAAACTAAAAAGATGAAAGATTGAAAACTTTAAAAGTTGAAAAGGCGAAAAATTGAAAAACTCAAATATTGAACAATTTCACACTGAAAAAAGGAAAAATTATGAAATCAGAACACTGAAAAACCCAACAATTGAAAAAAATAAAGAAAATAAAAAGCTGAAACGAACAATGACAAAACGAAAACTTGCATAAATGAAAAATTTATAAATCGAAAAATTGGAATAATCAAAAAGCGAATCAAAAACTAAAAATTGCTAAATCTAAAATTTAATGAAACAAAAAAATGGCAAATCGAAAAATGGAAGAAACGAAAAATTGAAAAAATTAAAATTGAAATAACAAAAAATTTTAAAATCCGTTCAACGAAATTTCGAATAATTGAACAAATAGAAATCGTATAACTGAACAAATAAAATTCGAAAAACTGTAACACTGAAAGATCGAAAAATTGAAAAATTAAAAATCGAAAAACTGAAAAATCGAATCAAAGAAAAATTCTAAAATAAAATAGATAACTGAAAAATGGAAAACTAAAATCATAAAATTGAAAAAGTAAACAATTAAAAAAATTATAATAAAAATTTAAAAAGATGTAAACCAAAATTGAAGAAACGAAAAATTGAGAAATCAAGAAACTGAAAAAACGAAAAATTGAAAAGTCTAAAAGGTAACAAGTCGAAAAATTAAAAATTCAGATATCGAACAATTTCACAATGAAAAAAGGAAAAATTATAAAATCAAAACACTGAAAAACCCAAAAATTGAAAAAATAAAGAAAATAAAAACTGGAATAATGGAAAATTATGGAATCGAAAAATCGGAAAAGAGAAAAAGCGAATCGAAAACTCCTGAAATTTTAAATCAAAAAATTGCAAAATCTAAAAATTGATGAAACAAAAATACACGAAAAATTGAAAAATGGCAAATCGAAAAATGGAAGAAACAAAAAGTCGAAAAAACAAAAAATTATTAAATCGAAACATTGAAAAACAGAATAATTGAAAAAATAAAAAAAAAAAACAAAAACCCCAACCAAAACAAAAAGAAAAAATTAAGAATTGAAAACTAGAGTAACTCAAACCGAAAAAGTGGAAAACCGCAAAGTTAACAAACCGAAGAACTGAAGAAATAAAAAATCTAAAATTGATATTCTAAAAAAAAAAGAAGAAAAAACGAATCGAATCCAGAAACTGAAAATCATAAATCGAGAAATTAAAACCGAAAACTTGCAAATCCATCGAATTCCGCTCCTTTGAAAAAGTATAGAAAATAAATTTGTTTTCTGATAACCTTTAGATATTAAAACCTGTGGTGTAAATGACAAATTCCAAGGAGGCGCTGTTCGCAGATAAACCGAAAAGAGTATTATTATCAGTGTACATGCTTAACTTTGATTTTTTATACATCGAAAGAATATCACGTAGAAATTTGTTTAATTTGAATGAATTGTCTCCTCAAAACATAGGAATTAAAATATTAACTAAACCACAATAGAACAAAATATTTTGAATATGGTTGTTATTCTTATTTGCTCATAATTAAATAAAGACGTGAGTATTCTGATATTTTCTAGGAAATGAGGTTCACAATTTGATCAATAAAAAATTGGTCGAAGGCTGGAAGTATACCTATATAATCCGACAAATCCAGCTCTTTAAAAAATTATAAAATTTGATTTTACGACTTTCGTTTTGTGATAACTGCTATAAAGTAAAAACCAGAGGCATAAATAACACCCCTTGCCCTTCAGCATTAGGTAATAGCAATCTCAAGCTCAAGTGTTTATTTATGTTTATTTTGGCTAGCATTTAACTATCTGCATGATATTTCTAATATACAGACAAAATTTGACAACAATCGGTCTAGCAGTTTCAGAGATTACGTGTCCACTAAAATAGACAGACAGACAGACGGAAACAAGAGAGTAGATTTTTCGTGCTGTAGGGGTCATGAAACGTCAAGAAAATATGAACGTGGGAAGTAAAAATATGAAAAATTGAAAAATCGCCCATTGAAAAATTGAAGAAACAAAAAATTGAAAAAACTATAAAATCAAAATATTGAAAAATCGAACAAATGAAAAACTGAAGAAAAAAATTATGAAAAATGTTTATTAAATGTGCTCACACGTGACGGAGAATTTATTAAAACTAATCAGTTGTCTTATATTTCACCAGAACTAAAAATACTACCGAAAACTCTCTTATCACTCTCTCTCAGATTACCCAAATCAGCCCAAGGCCACTTTTTCTCCAACTTCCACCGCCACGCTTCGCCTATCCATCCCAATCAATCCGCTAATCACCGAAATTTACATCACTTTTTCTCGAAACGTCCAAAAAACATCAATCACACTGAAACGCAATTGACTATTATTGGAACGATTGCAAAATTCCCCCGATTACCACTTATCGAAGCCAGGTTTATAAACAGCCGATCAAAACAATTTCGATAGTGTCCAAAATGAAGTTCGCCGCCTTCCTTCTCCTCTCTTCGTTCGTGCTCGCTCAGGTAGTAAATTTTTCCCGCTTTCCCGATTTTTCTGACCTTATCACCGCAGAGCGCCGTTATCAACAACCCTGAGGACGAGCTCAGGCGCAGCGCCAGCTGCCTGCAGCGATCAAGGGTCAGTTTCAACGCGATAAAGGGGATCCATACGGGCCAGTTTGATAACGACCAGAGTCTGAAGGAGTATTTGCTGTGCATCAGCAGGGTGGCGGGATACATCAACGAGGCGGGGTATCTGCAAAGGGACGTGATTAGGGTGAGGCTGAAGGGCGGGCACTACAGCGACGACACCATTGAGGAACTGGTGCAGAAGTGTACGGAGAACAAGGAGACTCCGGAGCAAACGGCCTTCGAGTTTATGAAGTGTGTGCATGTGGTTACATTCCAGACAAAATATGCCTGATATGTTTGATATTTGTTAAAAATAAAAGTTTGATATTGATAAAATGGACATTTTTTCTGATATTGACAACACTGTAAACACGATAAGTGGACTTTTCGTTCAGTCGTGATTCTGTGGTTTTGTTGTTGACACCACAAAGATACCAATGAAGAGCCTGATTTTTTTTATCTTCATTACACTTGTTGGTTTATCAGTAGTAAGTTTGTACTTGGTCACTAGTTAAACTTTGTCACAAATTTTCACTAGTCTTCTGTTGATAAGCAAAGAGCCCAGACCGCCCAAACTTACTGCAACCATGAAGTGCCAGACCAATCCAACCCCGAAAACCTAAAAAAGTACACCTTTTGCCTCTTCAAGAAAATGGGTTTCCAAACTGAAGATGGCACCTTCCAAGAAGAAACCCTTCGCCAAAATTTTGCCAACGTTCTCCCTCAGAACAAGATCGACGAAATTCTGACCAAGTGCACTGTCCAGAAAAACACCCCTGAAGATTCAGCTCTTAGCGCTCTAACCTGTATCGAAACCATCAACAAACCAAACTAGACAAAACTGTTATAGTAACTTTATTTCAAAACTATTCCCTTAAACAGGTACGAAGTTTGGCTGATTTTCCCTGATGCATTTAAAAACCTGGAACGACGTCTCCTCTTTAGTTCCTTTATTGGCGACGCATTTGGTGATGATTTCGTTGACTTTGTCTTCGTTGTCGACGACATTCCTCAATTTGGCTTTGACTTTTTCGACGTTGATGTCGCCGGATGCGTCGACGAGGCCGGATTTCTTGCCGAAGCACAGACTGTGGGCTTTGAGTTTGTCGTCTACGGCGGAAAAGTCGTTGTTTCGGATTTTGTTGATGGAATCTGTGGAGACGCCGGTTTCAGCTTGGCATGCGTCGCTCCAGTTTTTCCAGTTGGCTTTTTGCTCGTCGGTCAGAGACTGGAAATTTTGATACAGATTTTTCGAAAAATTTGTAGTCAAAACGTACCTGAGCTGTGACGATGAGGGCTACGAACACGAGACAAAGAAGGAACTTCATGATGGAAACAAAGAATGAGCGGAATAATCAGTTGGTTTCTTTTATAGAAACGTTTATCGCTAATGCAAGATAACGATGAGGGTCTAAGTCGAACAACGATAATGAGTGCACGTCGTGACAAATTTATTCATTTTTATCACAGTATTACGTAAAATTAGTTGACCGTTTTGTGTTTAGATTTCCACATTGTGTTAAAACTTGTGTAAATCCTATTTATAATTTGTATTCACAACAAATATTTTTGTGATTTTTACTTCCCGAGCGCAAGCTAAGAAAGTATTGAAGGTATAGTTTGGGAAATTTTATTCAACCCTATAAAATTTTATTGGCAATGACTAGACGGACAGTGGTACAATGGTAAGAAATATTGTTGTACTCATAAAATAATGGTCATTTTCGTTCGTGAGTAACGATGCTCCCTGTCCAGACCTGGATTATTCTACGTCCTAACATCTGTGGATTACTGGCACGCGACAACTTCAAGTTGTATATATCTCTTGCTATTGTACTACTGTCAGTCTCGTTATTGACAATACAATTTTATAGGGTAGAAAGAAATTTCCCAGACTATAATAGGGTCCAACAGGTGACTGGAAACTTTTATACTTTATTAAATGACGTACTTTTCCACTGTGGTTTATGAATCCGTGTTGAATTTTTATCCTAGATTTGTCGATTTTTTTATTTTTCTACTTTCGATTTTTCAATTTTTCGGTATTGCAATGTCTGGATTTTCCAATTTTTCGATTCTTCAATTTCTCGATTCTTTAAGTTTTTGATTTCTCGATTTTTCCATTTTTCAATTTTCTCATTCTTCAATATTTTTAAGTGTCCCAATTTTTCAAAATTTCAGTTTTCGACGTTTTTAAATTTTCAATTTGAATTTCTGCATTTTTCGGTTAATGGATATTTTAGTCATGGGATTTTTCAACATTTCGATTCTTAAATTTTTAGATTTTTCGGCTTTTACATCTTTTATTTTTTGGATTTTTAAATTTCAGATTTTTAAATTTTTTACCATTTCTATTCTTCTATTTTTCCAGTTTTAAAGTTTTCGAAATTTTGTATTTCTCGATCTTTCGATTTATCAATTTTTCGATTTTTTATTTATCGTTTTTTTTTTTAATTTTAGATTTCTCAATTTTTACCTTTCAGATTTTTCGATTTTGGGCTTTCTATTTCTCAATTTTTCAATTTTTCGATTTCCCAATTTTTCGCCACTTAGTTTTGGAATTGTTAAATTTCTCGATATTTTAGTTTTTCGATCTTTCAATTTTCGCTATTTTATTTAAAGTTTAGATTTGTCCGTTTTTGGATGTTTCTATGTCTCGATCACTCGATTTTTCGACTTTTCTGTTTCAGACCTTTCGCCTTTCGGTTTTTCAGTTTTTCGATGTTTCAGTTTTGGGATTGTTCAAATCTGGATATTTTAATTTTTCGATTTTTAAAATTTTAGATTTTCGAATTTTCGATGTCTCCGTGTTCAGTTCTTCGATATTTCTATTTTTCAATTTTTCGAATTTTTAAATTTAGATTTTTTGATGTTGGATTTTTCGATTCTATATTTTTCCATTTTTCATCTTCTCGATTTTATGATTTTTCATTTTTTTATTTCAAATTTTTTAGTTTTTCAATTTGTGACTTTTCGATTTTGGGTCATTTCGATTTCTCAGATTTTTTTGTTTTACTATTCTTAAATTTTTCGATTTTCCAAATTTTCAATTTTTGACTTTTCTAAATTTTTGATATTTCGATTTTTCGATTTCTCAATTTTTCGATTAATCCCTTGTTCAGTTTTTCGATTTTTCAGGTTTTTGATTTTTCAGTTTTTCGATGCTTCAGTTTTGGAATTCTTTAAATTTCGATATCTTGATTTTTCAATTTCTCGGTTTTGCTGTCCCTTGAAATTTCGAATTTTCAAATTTTAGATTTTTCAATTTTTTGGTGTTTCTTGGATCTTTGATTTTGCGATTTTTCGGTCTTCGATTTTTCGGTTTTTCAATTTTTCCATTTTAAAAAATTTTTGAATCTTCAATTTTTCGGTTTTAATTTCTCCATTCTTCATTTCTTCGACTTTACGATTCATCGTTTTCCTTATTATTTCAATTTTTCACTTTTTCGATTTTTCGATGTCTCGATTTGTCGATATTTCTATTTTTCGATTCTTCTACATATTTTCCCAGTTTCAAAGTTTTCAGAAATTTTGATTTTCTCGATTTCTCAGACCTTTTTATTTTTCAATTTTTCTAATTTTTAAATTTTATATATTTTTATTTTTTTGGTGATTCGGTTCCTCAATCTCTCGATTTTTCGACTTTTCGATGTTGTATTTTTCGGTTTTTCAATTTTTCGAATGTACATTTTTCCATTTTTCATGTTTTGATTTTACGATTTTTAATTTTTTTTTATTTCAAATTTTCAAGTTTTTCAATTTGTAACTCTTGATTTTTCGATTTTGGGCCATTTCGATTTCTCATTTTTTTTATTTTTCGACTTCACGACTTTTCGATTTCTCGATTTCTCAATCTTTTGATGTTTCGCTTATAGACGTTTCAGTTTTTCAGTTTTTCGATGTTTTGATTAGACGATTCTGTTTTTCGATTTTTTGAGTCGTTGGGTTTTCGTTTTTTCGGTTTTTCAGTTTATCGATCCTTCAATTTTTGCATATTTTAATTTTTCGATTTTTAAAATTGTAGATTTTTCAATGTCTCGGTTTTTCAATTTTACTATTTTTGACTTTTCTAATTTTTTGATATTTCGAGTTTTCGATTTTTCTATTTCTCGATTAATCCCTTGTTCAGTTTTTCCATTTTTCGATTTTTCAGGTTTTTGATTTCTCAGTTTTTCGATGTTTTAGTTTTGGGATTCTTCAAATTTCGATATCGTGATTTTTCAATTTTTGAAATTTTAGAATTTTCGATTTCTCGATTTTTTTGTCCGTCGAATTTTTGAATTTTTTGGTGTTTCAGTTCTTGGATCTTTCGATTTTGCGACTTTTCGGTCTTCCATTTTTCGGTTTTTCAATTTTTTCATTTTTAAAAATTTTTCAATATTCAATTTTTCGTTTTTAAATTTTTCAAATTTTTTATTTTTTTAATTTTACAATTATTCAATTCTTCGATTTTTCAGGTGTCCGATTATTCAGTTTTTCGATTTTTTAAATTTTCGATATTTCGACTTCGTTTTTCGAGTTTTAGATTTCTCGATTTCTCAGTTTTTCGATGTTTCAGTTTTGGGGTTTTTCAAATTTCGATATCTTAATTTTGAAGTTTAAAATTTCTCAATTTCTCGATTTTTCAACTCTTCGATATTTCTATTTTTCAATTTTTAGGGTCTTAAAATTTTAGATTTTTCGGTTTTTTGAAGTTTCAGTTCCTCGTTTGTTGGATTTGTCAATGTTTCGTTTTTTTAAATTTTCTGTTCTTCAATTTTTCGGTTTAAAATTTTGCGATTTTTTTTTTGATTTTACGATTTATCTTATTTTTCAAAATTTTCAGTAATTCAATTTATAACGATTTTTCTATTTTTTGAGTTTTCAATTTTTAGATTTCCCAATTTTTCGCCATTTCAGTTTTATATTTATTCAATTTTTCGATTTCTGAATTTCTCGTCTCGATTAATCGATTTTTTGGTTTCCTAACTTCTCAACTTCTCGATTTCTTTTTAATTTGAAGAGTCTAGATTTTTCAGTTTTTCAATTTTTCGATTATTGAATTTTTGAATTTTTCAGGTTTCTGATTTTTCGGATTTTCCATTTTTTAAATTTTTGATTTTTCGACCTTTCGATTTCTCGATTTATCAATTTTTCCACGTTTCAGTTTTGAGGTTTTTCAATTTTCGATTTCTCAATTTTTAGAATTTTAGATTTTTTGATTACTCAAATTTATAATCTATCTTTTTTTATTTCAAATTTTTCAGTTCATTACTTTTTAACTTATCGATTTTTCGATCTTGGATTATTTCGATTTCTCAATTTTTCGATTTACCGTTCCTTTTTTAATTTTAAATTTTTCAATTTTTCGGATTTTTTAAAATTCAGATTTTTCAGTTTCTGGATACTTCGACTATTTTTCGACTTTGTTTAAAAAAATGGGTTTCCAAAACGAAGAAACCCTACGTCAAAATTTTGACAAAATACACCACCAACAAACCCAAGTAAAACACAACTGCTTCTATAGTAACTTTATTTCAACCCTTAAACAGGTGTGAATTTTGGTCGATTTTCCCTCAGGCATTTATAAAGAAAGAACGCTGTTTCTTCTTTATTTCCTTTATCCACGACGCATTTGCCGACGATTTCGTTGACTTGGTCTTCGTTGTCGACGACTCTCCTCAATTTCGTTTTGACATCTTCCACGTCTACGTCGCCAGATGCGTTAAGCAGACCGCATTTCTTGCCGAAACATAGACTGTGGGGTTTGATTTTGTCCTCTAAATCGGAAAAGTCGTTGTTTCTGAGTTTATTGAGGGTTTCTGCGGAAATTCCGCTTTCGGCTTGGCATTCGTCGCTCCACTTTTTCCAGTTGGCTTTTTGCTCGTCCGTCAGAGACTGGAAATTTTTGATGTATCACAAGAAAAATTGATAATGATAACGTACATACCTGAGCGGTGACGATGAGAGCTACGAACAAGAGACAAAGAAGAAACTTCATGGTTGGTGGAAACAAAGAATGAGTGGAGGAATCAGTTTGTGTCTTATATAGAAATGTTTATCACTAAGGCAAGATAACCGGAGGGTATAAGTCAAAAAAAACGAACTGGGAGCAGATCATATCAAAATTATTTATTGTGTTTACAAGTAATTTGATTTTCAAAATGTGCAATTGCTGTATGTTTAGGTTTTAGTAAAAGTTGTAATAATTCTATCAAAAAAGATACTTTTGTTTTTTTTCCAGATCTCCTTGCTGGGTTATTTATACATACAATGTCAATCTATGGTGGACATAATTATGTATAATTGTAATACATATATAATATAATTTAATTAAATTTAACTAGAATCAAAATTCTAAAATTTTTCAATTTCTAACTTTTCGATTTTTCAATTTTGGGCTATTTCCATTTCTGAATTTTTCGATTTTTCGACTTCTCGACTTTTCGATCTCTCGATTTTTCAATCTTTTGTTGTTTCGACGTTTCAGTTTTTCAATTTCTCGATTTCTCGGTTTTTCAATTTTTCGTCATTTCAATTTTTGAATTTTTCAATTTCTGGAATTTTCAATTTTTTTATTTTTTTAAATTTAATATATCTCGATTTTTCCACTTTCGATTTTTAAAATTTAGATTTTTGAGTTTTTTGATTCTTTAGTTTTTGGATTCTTGAGTTTTTTCTATTTCTATTATTCAGTTTTTCAATCTTTAAATTTTTCATTTTTCGGTTTATTGATGTTTTAATTTTTCGATTTAACGATTTTTTAACTCGATCTCTTGACATCCCGTTTTTTCGATTTTTCGGATTTCGATTTTTCCATTTTAAAATTTTTCATTTCTCAATTTCTCGATTTATCGATATTCCGATGTTTCAATTTTTCGATTGCTCGAATTTTCAATTTTTCGATGTTCAGATTTTTCAATTTTTCGGTTTCCCAATTTGCCAATGTTTCAGTATTATAATTTTTCAATTTTTCGATTTTTAAATTTTTCTGTTTTCAAAATTTTCGGTTTTTGACGTCCTCATATTTTTATTTTTCAATTTCTGAATTAATCCATTGTTCGGTTTTTCAATTTTCCGATTTTTCAATTCTTCGATTTTTCAGTTTTTCGATATTTCTATTTTCACTTTTTCGAATTTTTAAATTTTAGATTTTTGTTTTTTGGTTTTTCAGTCCCTCGGTTTTTCGATTTTCGACTTTTCGGTGTTGGATTTTTTTGTTCTCAAATTTTTCATTTTTTTAAATTTTAGGTTATTCAATTTTTCGGTTTTGAATTTTTCCGTTTTATATTTGTTCGATTTTACGATCTATCTTTTTTTTATTTCAAATTTTTCAGTTTTTCTATTTTTAACTTTTCAATTTTTCGATGTTTCGGTTTTTCGATTTCTCGCTTTTTCGATTTATCGACTTTTCGGGTTTTCATTTTGTCGATTTGCTAATTTTTTATTTATCGTTTCCTTAATTTTAATTTTTTCAGTTTATCAATTTCACCTTTTCGATTTTTCGATTTCTAGACTTTCGATTTCTCGATTTCTTAATCTTTTGGTGTTTTGCTTCTCGATGTTTCAGTTCTTCAAATTTTCCGTTGTTTTGATTAATGGATTCTCTGTTTTTGGATTTTTCGAGTTGCTGAGTTTTCGTTTTTTCGATTTTTCAGTATTTTGATTCTTCGGTTTTTGCATATTTTAAATTTTCGATTTTTAAAATTTTAGATTTTTTTGTATCCGTTTTCAGTTCTTCGAGATTTATATAATTTTTCTTTTTTTCGATTCTTCAAATTTTCAATTTTGGACATTTTTAATTTTTTGATATTTCGATTTTTCGATTTCTCAATTTTTGGATTAATCCATTGTTCAGTTTTTCAACTTTCGGATTATTCAATTTTTCGATTTTTCAGATTTTTGATTTTTCGGGTTTTCGACTTTTGGACGTCGTTTTTCGACTTTTCGATTTATCGATTTTTCAAATTTTTGGTTTTTTAGTTTATCCATGTTTCAATTTTGGGATTTTTCAATTTTTCGTTCATTAAGTTTCGAAATGTTGATTTTTCAGTTTATAAAATTTTAGAATTTTCGATTTCTCGTTTTTTCAGACATTTCTATTTTTCAATTTCTTTATTTTTTTTTATTTTAGACTTTTTGGTTTTTGGTATTTCAGTTCTTCGGTATTTCATTTTTTCGACTTTTCGGTGTTAGATTTTTCGGTTTTCAAGTTGTTCTGTTTTCTTTTCGATTTTTTATTTTTTTGATTTATCGTTTATTTATTTAAAATTTTTCAGTTTTTGAATTTTTGAAGTTTCCATTTTTTTAATTTTAGACTACTTTGACTTCTCAGTTTTCCAAATTTTCGATTTTTGACTTTCCTATATGTTTGATATCTCAATTTCTATTTCCAATTTGTGAATTAATCCATTGTTCAGTTTTCCAATTTTCTGATTATTCAATGCTTCGATTTTTCAGGTTTTTGCTTTTTCGGGTTACAATTTTTTTAATTTTCGATTTGTCGACTTCCTAATTCGATGTTTCAGTTTTGGGATTCTCCAAACTTCGTGTCTTGATTTTCCAATTTATAAAATTTTAGATTTATCGATTTCTCGATTTTTCAGTTTTTCGATATTTCTATGTATTTTCACTTTTTCGAATTTAGACTTTTCGTTTTTTTTTTGTGTTTCAGTTTGGCGCTTTTTCGATTTTCGACTTTCCGGGTTGGATTTTTGGTTCTTTAATTATTAATTTTTTTAATTTATTTATTGGTTACTCAATTTCTCGGTTTTAAATTTTTACATTTTATATTTGTTCGATTTTACGATATATCTTTTTTTATTTTAAAAATTTTCAGTTTTTCAATTTTTATGTTTCCAATTTTTCGACTTTTCGACTTCTAGACTTTTTGATTTTTCGACTTCCTGATCTTCTGATGTTTCGCTTCTCGATGTTTCAGTTCTTCAAATTTTCCGATGTTTTGATTAATCGATTCTCTGTTTTTGGATTTTTTGGAGTTGCTGAGCTTTCGTTTTTTCGATTTTTCAGTATTTAGATTCTTCAATTTTTGCATATTTTTAATTTTCGATATTTAAAATTTCAGATTTTTCTGTGTCTCGGTTTTCAGTTCTTCCAGATTTCTATAATTTTTCAATTTTTCGATTCTCTAAATTTTCAATTTTCGACATTTTTAAATTTTTGATATTTCGATTTTTCGATTTCTCAATTTCTCGATTAATCCGTTGTTCAGTTTTTCAACTTTCGGATTATTCAATTTTTCGAATTTTCAGTTTTTTGATTTTTCAGGTTTCCGATTTTTTAAATTTTCGATTTTTGGACGTCGTTTTTCGACTTTTCGATTTTTAGATTTTTCTGTTTTTTAGTTTTTCCATGTTTCAGTTTTGGGATTTTTCAATTTTTCGTTCGATTTTTCAAATTTCGAAATGTTGATTTTCCAGGATTTCGTTTTTTTTTAATTTTTGAGTCTTCAATTTTTGGGTTTTGAAATTTTTTGATTTGTTTTTTCGATTTATCATTTATTTATTTAAAAATGTTCAGTTTTTCAATTTTAGACTACTTTGACTCCTCAATTTTTCGATTTTTCGTTTCTCCATAATTCAGTACTTCAATTGCTCGGTTTTTCAATTTTTCGTCTTTTCGGCTTTTCGATTTTTCAATTTTTTCAGTTTCTCGATTTATTGTTTCTTTTTTAATTTAAAATTTTTCGACTTTTCAATTTTTACCTGGTCGATTTTTCAATTTTGGACCATTTCATTTTCGATTCTGAATTGTGTCTCGAATTTTACGATTTTTCAATTTTTTCATTGCTCAGTTTTTCATCATTTCAGTTTCGGAATTTTTCTATCTGTAGATTTCGATTTTTCGATTATACATACACTTTTTCGATTCTACGGTTTTTTTTTTCAAATTATTCGCTTTTTTAATTTTACTTTTTGATTTTTCGATTTTGGACTATTTCGATTTTTCGTTTCTGGATGTCTGAGTACTTCAATTTTTCGATGTTACGGTTTTTCAATTTTTCGCTTTTTCGATTTTTCGAATTCTCGGCTTTGCATTTTCTTGGTTTTCTAATTTTTCGGTTTTTATATTTGTGGAGTGTACAGGTTCCCAATTTTTAGATTTTTTAAATTTTCAATTTTTTTTATTTATCTTATCTTAATTTTAATTTTTTTTCATTTCTCAATGTTACCGTTTCGATTTTGCTGTTTTGGACTATTTCGTTTTTTCAGTTTTTCCATTTTTTGACTTCTCTACTTTTCATTTTTTCGATTTCCCAATCTTTTGATGTTACCATTCTCGGCGTTTCAGTTTTTGAATTTTTCAATGTTTTGATTTTTTGATTCTCTCCTTTTTAGATTTTCGACTTCTCAGTTTTTAGATTTATCAGTTTTTCAATTTTTCGGTTATTGAATTTTTCAGTTTTTCCATTTTTCAAATTTTCGATTTTTCGGCTTTATTTTTCGATTTTATTCTTCGACTTTTCGATTTCTCGATTTATCAATTTTTCGATGTATTAGTTTTGGGTGTTTCAATTTTTAGAATTTTTGATTTTTCGATTTCTTCATTTTTCGGTACTGCGATATTTCTATTTTTCAATTTTTCGAATTTTTAAATTTTAGATTTTTTGGTTTTTTGTTGCTTCAGCGAATCGGTCTTTTGATTTTCTCGACTTTCGGGGCGGGATTTTTTAATTTTCTAGTTTTTGATACTTCAATTTTTGGGTTTTGAAAATTTTCGATTTTTTTTTCGATTTATCATTTATTTATTTAAAATTTTTCAGTGCTTCAATTTTTGAATTTTTGAATTTTTCAATTTTAAACTACTTTGACTTCTCAATTTTTCGATTTTTCGTTTCTCCATGCTTCAATACTTCAATTGCTCGGTTTTTCAATTTTCCGTGTTTTCGGCTTTTCGATTTTTCAATTTTTCAATTTCTCGATTTATCGTTTCTTTTTTAATTTAACATTCTGCGATTTTTCAATTTTTACCTGTTCGATTTTTCAATTTTGGACCACTTCGATTCTGATTTGTTCGACTTTTTGACTTCCGGATTTTTCGATTTCCTGATTTCCGGTTATTTCGATGTTTCGTGTCTCCAATTTTACGATTTTTCAATTTTTAATTTCTCAATTTTTCGTCATTTCAGTTTTGGAATTTTTCTATCTCTAGACTTCAATTTTTCGATTCTACGTACACTTTTTCGATATTTTAGTTTTCCAATTTTTAAGATTTTAGACTTTGGATGTCTCGGCTTTCAGTTCTTCTATATTTCTATTTTTACATTTTTTGAAAATTTTAAAGTTTACATTTTTCAATTTTTCGAGTTTTAACATTTTTGATTTTTGATTATTCAATTTTCGGCTTTTAAATCTTTCGATTTTTCAGTTTTTTGATTCTTCAATTTTTTCTATTTCTATTTTTCAACCTTTTGAATTTCCAAATTTTTTATTTTTCAGTTTATTCATTCGTCAATTTTCAGTTTGTTAAATCTAACATTTTTCAATTCTACGATTTTTTTATTCGATTTCTAGTTTTGGGAATTTTCAATTTCTGGATTTTTCAATTTTTCGGTATTTTAATTGCACGATTTTTGCTTGATCTTTCGATTATTCGGTTTTTCAATTTGTCGACTTCCAGAATTTTTTGACTTCTACTTTTCTCGATATATCAATATCCAACCTCTCGATATTCCAATTTTTCAATTTTTCGAAAAGCATTTTTTCCCTTGGCTGTCTGTTCCCAAAACGCCCAGACTTAGTGCAACCATGATGGAATGAATTGCCAGACCAATCGAACCCCGAAAAAATAAAAAAGTTCGAAATGGGTTTTCAAAACGAAGAAAGAAAAAACCCTATCAACAATTTTGCCATCAGAACGAAATTGACCAAATTTATATATATATAATAAATATTACGTTGATCAACATTAGATTTTGTCAAGGCTTCACACATGAAGACAACATACTATTTTGACATTTTGATGCACCATCAAGAAAAACACCCAAAAATAAACTAAACTAGAACACAGCTGCTTCTATAGTAATTTTATTTCAACCTTTACACAGGAGTAAATTTGGGTCGATTTTCCCTCAGACACCTAAAAACGAAGAACGCTGTTTCTTCTTTGCTGCCTTTATCGACGACGCATTTGCCGACGATCTCGTTGACTTGGTCTTCGTTGTCGACGACTTTCCTCAGTTTCGTTTTGACATCTTCCACATCTATGTCACCAGATGCGTTAAGGAGACCGCATTTCTTGCAAAACATAGACTATGGGCTTTGATTTTGTCATCTACAGCGGAAAAGTCGTTGTTTCTGAGTTTATTGATGGTCTCTGTGGAAACTCCGGTTTCGGTTTGGCATTCGTCGCTCCACTTTTTCCAGTTGGCTTTTTGCTCGTCTGTCAGAGACTGGAAATTTTTGGTGTATCACAAGAAAATTGATAGTGATAAATGACAATGATAATGTACCTGAGCGGTGACGATGATAGCTACGAACACGAGACAAAGAAGAAAGTTGATGGTTGATGGAAACAAAGAATGAGCGGAGGAATTAGTTGGTTTCTTATATAGAAAAGTTTATCACTAAGCCAAGATAACCAGAGGGTCTATCTAAGTCGAAACAGTGATAATGAGTGCAAATTATGTCAATATTATGTAAAGTAACTTGTTTTTTTTTTATTAATGTGTTAAATTTGTCTATTTTTTACAGATCTTCTTCGTTCAGCACCTACATTCAGCGAACTGAATTTTCATTAGGTAAGTTTATTTATAGTGAATAATACTTATCAATTATCGTATCAATTATTATCACCCTATCGGTATTCCACTTCTATTTCCATCAATGATATTGTTTTAACCTTTTGTCTCTGTATAAGTGTCGAGTTTTCATCACCTTCAACTTTTCACGATATCGTGGTAGTTATCACTTGTTTGTTATTTTTAAATTTGTTATACCTAAACTCGACTTACACAAGAATGATCGAAAAAAATTTCTTTGACTTTTCAAAAACAGCTACTAATTTTAGACTTTTACACGTTATGATAAAAATGAGTTCTGCTCGAAACCTATTTCCTTGACCTTTTTTCTATGATTATCAAACTTGTATCACTTTGTGAAGTCGTGTCAATTTTTATCACTTTATCGTTCTTTTACTTGTTTATAAACTAACTACTCGACACATTTGTCGTAGTCTAAAATGAATTTAGCTGCGGTTTTTTTCGTGTCGTTGTTTGTCTTCGTCCAGGTAAAGTAATTTAGTTTCTAGTTTACATCACTTTTATCAATTTGTATCTTAGTGTGACGATGACAATATTACCTACGCTGACGTTGTCAAACCTTGCAAAGAAAAGTCAGGAATTACTGACGAAATCCTGGTTAACGCTTCTAAAGGGAATTACGACAACCCAAAACTAGAAACATTCTTACTGTGTAGTCACAAAGCTCTTGGGTTTCAAAATGAAGCAGGACAGATACAAATTGATGCTGTGGAAAGAGTGCTAAAGAAGTCGGCTTTTCCTGTAACGCAGGTACAGAAAGTTGTACAACAATGCAACTCCAACAAGGCTACTCCAGGCGAAACGGCAATAGAGTTTTCAAAATGTAGTAAAGCTATCTTGCATCCAAAACCACAATAACACTATGTCACACCAAAAAGAAATAAAGTTTTCGTTTAATATTTTATGTTTAGGTAACATTTCAAAAATATCAATTTTTTAAAGGGCTTTGAACTCTGGATAACTACGTCTGACGCATTTAAAAGCCCGAAATGCCCTTTCTTCTTTAGTTTCTTTTTTGTCGACGCATTTGGCGATGACTTCGTTCACTTGGTCTTCATTGTTGACAATAGTCTTCAGTTTCGCTTTGAGTTTTTCCACATCCACGTCGCCAGATGCGTTAAAGACGCCGGATTTCTTGCCGAAACATAGAATGAACGCGTCGATTTTGTCGTCTGTGATGCAAAAATCGTTGTGTCTGACTTGATCGAGTGCTTCTATGGAAACTCCGGTTTCAGCTCGGCATTCGTCGGTCCATTGTTTCTCGGTTGTCAGAAGCTGGAAATTTTGATATAGATTTGGCCACAAGTTGATAGTGGTGATGGTAATGATAACGTACCTGAGCTGTGACGATGAGAGGTACGAACACGAGACAAATGAGGAAGTTCATGGTTGACGAAACTAAGAATGAGTGGAAGAATCAGTATATTTCTTTTATAGACGCGAGATAGCCATGAAGGTCTACGTGGAAACAACGATAACGAGGGAAATCATAATATTTTGGCAAAGGTTGGATTTTGTCAAGGGTTCACACATAAAGACAATTTATTGTTTTGACCTTTCGTCTATGTTGTCTCATGAATTGTTATCAACTTATCGGCGTTCTATTACTTCTTATAAAACAGATATTCAAGCCAAGAAGAACAAACCAAACTAGAAAAAAAAACTGCTTCTATAGTAGGTAACTTTATTTCAAAACCATGTTAAATAGGAGTGAATTTTGGTTCATTTTCCCTGATGCATTTAAACACGTGCAACGATGTCTCTTCTTTAGTTCCTTTATTGACGACGCACTTGCCGATGATTTCGTTGACTTGGTCTTCGTTGTCGACGACATCCCTCAGTTTCGTTTTGACTTTTTCCACGTCTATGTCGCCAGATGCGTCAATAAGCCCGGCTTTCTTGCCGTAACATAGACTGTGGGCTTTCATTTTGTCGTCTACGGCGGAAAAGTCGTTGTTTGCGACTTTGTTAATGGCGTCTGTGGAAACTCCGGTTTCAGCTTGACATTCTTGGCTCCATTTTCGCCAGATGGTTTTTTGTTCGTCTGTCAAAGACTGGAAATTTTTGATAGAAAAAATTGATAGTGGTGATGATAATTGATAGCTTACCTGAGCTGTGACGATGAGAGCCACGAACACGAGCCAAGGAAGAAACTTCATGGTCGATAGAAACAAGGAATGAGCGGAGTAACTAGTTTGTTTCATTTATAGAAAAGTTTATCACTAATGGAAGATAACCGTGAGGGTATAAGTCGAAACAACGATAATGTGTGCAAATCATCAATATTATTTATCTTTATTACAATATTTTGCAAAATTAGAACTTTTTTTAAATGAGATTATTTTTTATTGCAAATTAAATTTGTGTAAGTCGTATTATTCGTTTTCACACATGGGGACAACTTATTGTTTTGACCTCTATGTTGTTTATTATCAAACTATCATCTTCTATTATTTCGTATAAATCAGGTATTCAAAACACGTTTGTTTTTGAAATCTCTTAAAAAATTGCCTGGAACTTTTATTCCAGTTCTATATCAAACTATATAAAACTGTCATTAATCTTTGTTGATACACAAATTGCCTAAAACGGTCAAACTTGTTCAAGAAAATGGGTTTCCAAAAGGTCTTCCTGGAACACCGTTTCTTGTTTAGTTTTAGTTTTCAAATGTTCTCATTTTATAATCTTTTTCGAGTCATTCGAGTTTTCAATGTTTCGTTTATAAACTTTTTTTCAATTTTAATTTCTCCAATTGTTGTTTCTCCACTTTTTTAATTTGCGATTTTTCAATTTTTCGTTTTCCTTGTTTCTTAAATTTTTAGATTTTGTAATTTCTCTATTTAAAATTTCTGGAGTTTCCAATTTTTAAATCTTTAATTTTTGAACTTTTCGTTATTCCATTTCTTTAATTTTTCGATTTGGAATTTTTCGTCTCGGTTTTAATTTTCGTTATTTTTATAATTTTTCGATTTTCCAATGTTAGGATTAAATAATTTTTTGTTTTCTTCTTTTCAATTTTTCGTTTCTTAAACTTATCGATTTACGATTTTTCAGTTTTTCATTTTTTTGGTTCTTTAATTTTACCAATGCAGTTTTTCGAGTTTGCAGTTTTAAAGTTTTCAGTTTTTTAATTTTTTAACTTTTGGATTTTTCAGTTTTTCAATTTTTCAATTTTTATCTTTTGCAATTTTTCGATTTGAGTTTCTCGAGTTTTCAGTTTTTATTTTTTTTATTTTTCGATTTTTCAATTTTTCGATTTGCAGTTTTTGGTTTCGGCTTTTTATTTTCTTTATTTTTTCAATTTTTCGGTTTTCAAATGTTCTCATTCTATAATTTTTTTTCTGCAATGTGAAATTTTTCACTTTTTGCTGTTTTCAATTTTTCGGTTTTCAATTCTTCGATTTTTCAACTTTCAGATTTTTGAATTTTTCGTTTTTTCAATTTTAGATTTTTCACTTTCTCGTTTTTGAATTTTTCAGTTTTTAGATTCTCAAATTTTTCTCTCGGTTTTCTATTTTCCTTATTTTTTCAATCATTCGAGTTTTCAATGTTTCGATTATAAACTTTTTTTCAGTTTTAATTTCTCCAATTGTTGTTTCTCCACTTTTTTAATTTGCGATTTTTCAATTTTTCGTTTTTCTTGTTTCTTAAATTTTTAGATTTTGTAATTTCTCTATTTAAAATTTCTGGAGTTTCCAATTTTTAAATCTTTAATTTTTGAATTTTTCGTTATTCCATTTCTTTAATTTTTCGATTTGGAATTTTTCGTCTCGGTTTTTCTTTTCGTTATTTTTATAATTTTTCGATTTTCCAATGTTAGGATTATATAATTTTTTGTTTTCTTCTTTTCAATTTTTCGTTTCTTAAACTTATCGATTTACGATTTTTCAATTTTTCATTTTTTTGGTTCTTTAATTTTACCAATGCAATTTTTCGAGTTTGCAGTTTTAAAGTTTTCAGTTTTTTAATTTTTTAACTTTTGGATATTTCAGTTTTTAAATTTAGTCTTTCACGAGTTTTCAGTTTTTAATTTTTCAGTTTTTCAATTTTTCAATTTTTACCATTTGCAATTTTTCGATTTGAGTTTCTCTAGTTTTCAGTTTTTAATTTTTTTATTTTTAGATTTTTCAATTTTTCGATTTGCAGTTTTTGGTTTCGGCTTTTTATTTTCTTCATTTCTTCAATTTTTCGGTTTTCAAATGTTCTCATTTTATAATTTTTTTTCTGCAATGTGAAAGTTTTCACTTTTTGGTGTTTTCAATTTTTCGGTTTTCAATTCTTCGATTTTTCAACTTTCAGATTTTTGAATTTTTCGTTTTTTCAATTTTAAATTTTTCACTTTCTCGATTTTTGAATTTTTCAGCTTTTAGATTCTCAAATTTTCCTCTCGGTTTTCTATTTTCTTTATTGTTTCAATCATTCGAGTTTTCAATGTTTTGATTATTAACTTTTTTTCGATTTTAATTTCTCCAATTGTTGTTTCTCCATTTTTTTAATTTGAGATTTTTCAATTTTTCGTTTTCCTTGTTTCTTAAATTTTTAGATTTTGTAATTTCTCTATTTAAAATTTCTAGTGTTTCCAATTTTTAAATCTTTAATTTTTGAATTTTTCGTTATTCCATTTCTTTAATTTTTCGATTTGGAATTTTTCGTCTCGGTTTTTCTTTTCGTTATTTTTATAATTTTTCGATTTTCCAATTTTAGGATTATATAATTTTTTGTTTTCTTCTTTTCAATTTTTCGTTTCTTAAACTTATAGATTTACGATTTTTCAATTTTTCATTTTTTTGGTTCTTTAATTTTACCAATGCAATTTTTCGAGTTTGCAGTTTTAAAGTTTTCAGTTTTTTAATTTTTTTACTTTTGGATATTTCAGTTTTTAAATTTAGTCTTTCACGAGTTTTCAGTTTTTAATTGTTCAGTTTTTCAATTTTTCAATTTTTACATTTTGCAATTTTTCGATTTAAGTTTCTGGAATTTTCAGTTTTTAATTTTTTTATTTTTCGATTTTTCAATTTTTCGATTTGCAGTTTTTGGTTTCGGCTTTTTATGTTCTTTATTTTTTCAATTTTTTGGTTTTCAAATGTTCTCATTTTATAATTTTTTTTCTGCAATGTGAAATTTTTCACTTTTTGGTGTTTTCAATTTTTCGGTTTTCAATTCTTCGATTTTTCAACTTTCAGATTTTTGAATTTTTCGTTCTTTCAATTTTATATTTTTCACTTTCTCGATTTTTGAATTTTTCAGTTTTTTGGTTCTTTATTTGTACCAATGCAATTTTTCGAGTTTGCAGTTTTAAAGTTTTCAGTTTTTTAATTTTTTAACTTTTGGATATTTCAGTTTTTAAATTTAGTCTTTCACGAGTTTTCAGTTTTTAATTTTTCAGTTTTTCAATTTTTCAATTGTTACCTTTTGCAATTTTTCGATTTGAGTTTCTCGAGTTTTCAGTTTTTAATTTTTTATTTTTCGATTTTTCAATTTTTCGATTTGCAGTTTTTGGTTTCGGCTTTTTATTTTCTTTATTTTTTCAATTTTTCTGTTTTCAAATGTTCTCATTTTATAATTTTTTTTCTGCAATGTGAAATTTTTCACTTTTTGGTGTTTTCAATTTTTCGGTTTTCAATTCTTCGATTTTTCAACTTTCAGATTTTTGAATTTTTCGTTTTTTCAATTTTAGATTTTTCACTTTCCCGATTTTTGAATTTTTCAGTTTTTAGATTCTCAAATTTTCCTCTCGGTTTTCTATTTTCTTTGTTGTTTCAATCATTCGAGTTTTCAATGTTTCGATTATAAAGTTTTTTTCAATTTTAGTTTCTTCAATTATTGTTTCTCCACTTTTTTAATTTGCGATTTTTTAATTTTTCGTTTTTCTTGTTTCTTAAATTTTTAGATTATGTAAATTCTCTATTTAAAATTTCTGGAGTTTCCAATTTTTGAATCTTTAATTTTTGAATTTTTCGTTATTCCATTTCTTTAATTTTTCGATTTGGAATTTTTCGTCTCGGTTTTTCTTTTCATTATTTTTATAATTTTTCGATTTTCCAATGTTAGGATTATATAATTTTTTGTTTTCTTTTTTTCAATTTTTCGTTTCTTAAACTTATAGATTTACGATTTTTCAATTTTTCATCTTTTTGGTTCTTTAATTTTACCAATGCAATTTTTCGAGTTTGCAGTTTTAAAGTTTTCGGTTTTTTAATTTTTTAACTTTTGGATATTTCAGTTTTTAAATTTAGTCTTTCACGAGTTTTCAGTTTTTAATTTTTCAGTTTTTCAGTTTTTCAATTATTAACTTTTGCAATTTTTCCATTTGAGTTTCTCGAGTTTTCAGTTTATAATTTTTTTTATTTTTCGATTTTTCAATTTTTCGATTTGCAGTTTTTGGTTTCGGCTTTTTATTTTCTTTATTTTTTCAATTTTCCGGTTTTCAAATGTTCTCATTTTATAATTTTTTTTTCTGCAATGTGAAATTTTTCACTTTTTGGTGTTTTCAATTTTTCGGTTTTCAATTCTTCGATTTTTCAGCTTTCAGATTTTTGAATTTTTCGTTTTTTCAATTTTAGATTTTTCACTTTCTCGATTTTTGAATTTTTCGGTTTTTAGATTCTCAAATTTTCCTCTCGGTTTTCTATTTTCTTTATTGTTTCAATCATTCGAGTTTTCAATGTCTCGATTATAAACTTTTTTTCAAATTAAATTTCTCCAATTGTTGTTTCTCCACTCTTTTAATTTGCGATTTTTCAATTTTTCGTTTTTCTTGTTTCTTAAATTTTTAGATTTTGTAATTTATCTATTTAAAATTTCTGGAGTTTCCAATTTTTATATCTTTAATTTTTGAATTTTTCGTTATTCCATTTCTTTAATTTTTCGATTTGGAATTTTTCGTCTCGGTTTTTCTTTTCGCTATTTTTATAATTTTTCGATTTTTCAATGTTAGGATTATATAATTTTTTGTTTTCTTCTTTTCAATTTTTCGTTTCTTAAACTTATCGATTTACGATTTTTCAATTTTTCATTTTTTTGGTTCTTTAATTTTACCAATGCAATTTTTCGAGTTTGCAGTTTTAAAGTTTTCAGTTTTTTAATTTTTTAACTTTTGGATGTTTCAGTTTTTAAATTTAGTCTTTCACGAGTTTTCAGTTTTTAATTTTTCAGTTTTTCAATTTTTCAATTTTTACCTTTTGCAATTTTTCGATTTGAGTTTCTCGAGTTTTCA